TATCGGGTTGCTCAAGAATACTTTCGGACACGTGCAGGAGGGATGCGGGGATCGAACCAACAACTTGCGATTTGGACGACCGCTCTGCCCTTGGGCCACTGCGCGTACCGATTTGTAACTTTAGGAAGGATCTATTGGTCAGAAAAGGGAATATTTCACAAGGTATGTGAACTGCGTCCTTCTTTAAATAATCCCTGCAACATCCTTATATTACAAAGCTACAGGCGCGACTCGGTATACTTGAGTTATCCTATACTGAGTTGCAGTAACATAACATTTGAGCTCGGCTAACCAGGCTCTGAATTTCATTACAAGACTGAAGAGCTAGTTAGTTCTAATGCCTCAATGACATTACTGCTGGATTCATTAGCCTAAACCCAATGGAGAGCTCAAGCCAATAAGGCAGTGGCCGTTTCTCTTTTTCAGGCCTGAAATGCTAACATAGTCATAGGGGCCCTATGGCTCTCAATAACAATGGCTTATGTAATGTTCTGATGTTTTAGCAGGTATTAATGTTACATTGTTCACCTTGGTTTAGTATGCATTTGGTCAGTACACCAAAAGTACCATAGGAGGTACTGGGATTAATGTGAAATTTGGATCGTGGATGGAATTGTCGTATCAACAGGAGTCATTTAGGGAGTTTCATTCGTGGGTAAAAATTTTTGGTGCCTAATCCATGCATTAGGTTCGTAGTCAGTCTTTACACTTGGTAATGAGTGTACAGATCGTGATGTACTTGTGAATTGGCAATAGATGATACTTAGTCCATCTCTGGGGAACATGTACTGGAATTTATCGAACCTTTTGGAGCTGCTGTTTGGTGCTAGACAAGCGGAGACCAACTGGACACTGCCCATTAGCAGAGGAGCCACAGTCTGCTGGTGTGGTTAACAAGAAAGAGTTAGGGCTGTTGGGCATTAATTAATAAGTAGATGGATGATTTAAGTGTCGAAGAAAAGGACAGAATGAACTGCTACGCCTCCAATGGTGCGCGTTGGTTAGGCAACCTCCCCCGATTTGCAATTGGGGTTATTTGGCCACTGCTGCAACTTCACCTGCCACACGATTCGATGTCTACAGTATACATGGAGAGCAAAACACAGGGATATAAATCTTATTGTACATTATAGCTGTGGTATCTTATAATGCCAAGTTCTAAGGGGGAGATTATACTAAACGATGTCTAGGGAATGTATTAGAAATTAAGAAATTAACGCTGACGAGTATAATTCGCTGGCTTATTATCTTGCAGGGAGGTCTCTATTAAAAACAATGGACCCGTTTGCATCTACATCCGCTAATATTGATATAAAAATTCATGTTTCCTCCATGCCTGTTTGGGGGCAGATCAAAGTGATTATCCCCGGGAGGCTGCAATCCTGATGCTTGCTGCTATATCGTTATGCCTCAGGCTTGTTTTTTGCGGGGTCGCTCCCATTCGGCAAGGGTTGTTGGTTTCGATCTCCGGTCTCCTGCCACGTGTCGAAGTATCCTTTGAGCAAGATCTGAACCCCAAATTGGGCTCGCGATGCATAGTGCATCGATGTGTAATCTGTGTATGAATGAGTTATGTTTCTATTCGAATGATCGATTCTGCTTCGACTGCCATCGTCCTGATGCGAATGGTGGGTGTGGCCAGGTGTAAAAGCGCTGTATGGTGGTGAAGTACTTAGGAAATGGCATTATACAAGTTACAGGTCATTTGTTCTCTGATGACTAATGATCACAATGGTCCGATGGACTAAATCTTCATCCGGTTCATAATTCTAGATTAATAAAGCATCCAGATCTAAACAGTGGTATGCTATAAAGATGTGGCCTTGCAAACTGAAAAAAGTCATGTATGACAGCTTCTGGGCAGAACAACCACAATTTGCTGACACATGCACAAAAGGCGGATATGACGCCGGCCGGTGAAACTCAGCGTTACCTGGAATAAATTGAGCAGATGTTTCTCAGGGTGGTTCGAATATTGTTGGAAACCATTTTGGGATAATGGAAGGTACCAACAACTAACTACATATAGAACATAGCTCTAGAGTTTTATAGCATTTTAAGTGTGGGAAAGGTTTTTAGGATAATAGCTACTTTTGTAGTATCTTCTTACATGTTTTCATTGGCCGTTGAGTCATAACGTGTTTGTAGGCGTCATATGGGTCAGTTCCCATTTACATCATAACGTTGCTAGATGGTCCGTACAGAAACGATAAAGACGAACAGGAGCAAATACATGAGGCTGATTACAGGAGAAAACAGCTCAAGTTAGTGAAAAACGGATAGTCACCCTTCTTTGCCGTGTTTTATCCAGCAGTGTTTTGTGCATTTGGGGGTGATTAAACCAGTCACTGAGCTATTTAGTGCTCGTTGTTTGCTACTGTTGTTGTTGTGCCCGTCTGTCTGTCTGTCATCTCTCACTCGTCGCTCTGTTTACTCTCTCTTTAACTCTGTCGCTCTCTCTCTCTTCGTCTCTCTCTCTTCTCTCACCCCAAACTGGTCGAGGCAGAGACACCACCTAGAGCCGAAGGATCTGTCCATAGCGTTTGCTGGGGCCTCTTAAAGGGAACATTTGAACTCTAGCCATGTTTCTTTCGGCTGGTTTTCACTTTTGATCATCGCCATGTTTTCTCAACGAGCCGCCCCTACAAGCCTCTGGGGGACGTGTATTTTTCACAACACGTTGCTAAAAAAACTCACTTGCGGCACCCTCCTCCCCCTTTCTACCGCTGCTGGATGTAGCCTTTTTTTCGGCCGGGCAAACTTGTTTCGCTGTGAACCGCAATATTACCTATTGGTATTTATATTACATACATTCTGAGTTGGCGTCTGTGCGGTTGCCTATGTGGGAATTGGCGTACAAGCCGTTTCGTTTTTCGTCGCTCGTCTTGCTTCTCGCGCAGTACTTCTTATTTTCCAATTTACCAGGGACGGTAGTCCCAAAGCTTGCAAGGGTTGGTTTTCCGCCTTGGGGGGTCGCGCTGAGGGGGGGTGGGGGGATCATCATTATTCACCGGGATACAGGGCCTTTAAGCCATTTCATGATTTCTAAACGGGTTTATTAAGCTGAAAGTTGCCAGTTCCCCTTTGAACAGGCAGTTTTTCCTTGCCCCCGTCGCAAGGTCTTGCTCAATGGTGGTACTGTTGGTGTCTGTAAATGTTAAAAGGAGTTCGGTCTAGACCTGCTCTATTTGAAAGTGTCCTGAGAAAACTTCTGTTTTGAATTGGCGCTATACAAATAAAATTGAATGAATTGAAATGAACAGCTACCACCATGAGCAAGGGTACGATTTCTTTAAGCAGCCTTAGTTGGGATGGGGGTCTAATAGACAGGGTTGATGGCTTCGATGAAGAAATTATTGAAGTTAACTGATGAAGATTGATAGCAGAAAACATTCTAAATATATATCTGGAGTTTCTGAACTTGGAGAGCCAGTTATACCTATTGAGGGCATTTGGGTGACTAAATTTTATCTCAATAGTAATCATTTTTAATTATAAAAGAACCTCATGAAGTCATTGGCTACTTAAGTTATGGGGAATGTGGCTCAATAGAGCTGTGACTCTCTGTCAGCCTGGCTACAGTGCTGAAGAGGAACCTAAGGTTGTTCTTATTTTCTTTTATTAGTGTTGAGTAATAGGCTCCTCTGGCATTACGGAGGGCCTTTCTATAATTTATTTTAAGATTATCATGCCAAATTGAGCAATATTCTAATTTACAGTCTACATAGGACAGGGGGCAGCTCCATTGGCTACAAAAAAGTCTGGTAGAGCTGGCGCCCCATGTACCAAAGGCTAAGTCCGTCCTGCAGCGGCCATAGGTCCAAATGCTACCTGTGGCCCTTTGCTGCGTGTCATCCCCCCTCTCTCCCCCCTTTCCTGTCAACCCCTCAGCTGTCCTATCAAATAAAGGCAAAAAAGCAAAAAATCAAATGTGGATGAAGATTCTGTTACTGCATTGCCTATTTCTCTCCTAAAATCTTTTCATAAACATATTTATACTGTTTATCTGGAATATGAGAATGAGTGGAAACAGCAGCCAGTGAATGCAGCTAAACCCAACATGGCAACGGCCATAATGCCAAACTGGAGGCTTCAAAACAGTACTCCACAAACCAATGGTTCATGTCAACCATGTTTGGCTACACTTGATTGTGGTTTCCAAATTTTGGGGAAAATCCCAAAATGTGAAAATTAAATTCCTAAGGACGTGTTTTGATTTTTAACTGTATCCATATTTGGAGATGGTTAGATGGATAGCACATACGTAGTTCTGAGCCAGATCAGGGTGGTTCATCTCAATGCCATCATCCAATATGGTGACCACTACATTCTTGCCGGTGTAGCCGCTCTGCCAGGCTGCCAGAATGTTCATCTCTGAGCGACAGCGGCTGCTCTTATCATTACAGTGCTGAAGAAAAACACAGATGCGAAACATCATCAATATCCTATCTCATCAAAAATGGAACTGGTAGAATGAATAATTCAGTGTACTTACAATGTACCACATGTTGGACCATTTAGGGTCATTGAAATGAATGAAGCTTGGGTCACTTTGGGCTTGCCTCTTTACTCTTGGTTTTACTACCTGCTGCTGGGCCCATTCCACCTATGGCAAGAACACTACAAATTAGTTTTGAGTGCAGTGGCAGACACAGACAATTTTCATAGGGGTGGCCAGGCTGAGGCCCGTTCTCAATTTGGAGTAGCACACAAATTTGTATCTTTTTCCTTTTCTGAAGGATAGATTATGATGTTTGCTGATGACCAAAATGTAACACCAAAAATAGTCTTATAGACGGATGTGCATGTGTTCTTACTTTGATCAATAACAGATTTTCGCATCACTGTTAATGATGCAGTCAGACCAGAATTCGCTTCCCATTCATTTTTATGTGGAACAAAACGGGATATTTTATATTTCTTAATATTTATATGTATTTAAAAAAAATGTATTTGATGTGTACTTGTTTTTTTAGTTTGGCCCATGTCCTATCTGTTAACATGGAGGAGTAGTTTTCAGTAATGTACTATCATCTCAAGGCCCTCCTGGCAGGTCCCTGAGGCCCCCCTCGTGAGCCTTCCTGTTTAGCACTGCATTCAAGTATTAAATACCACTTCCACTTGGTAGATCTGCTTGAAAGGCCTCAGACATGAGGAACACATTTGTTAATGTGACCACATCTCCACTATTGTGCATTTTGACTTGAAAGAAACTGATCAGAGTCTCACCTCAGGATCCATATGGATGAAGCTGTGGGGGCCCTTCAAAGAGTATGCAGCTCTGCGAACCACTCTGCTGTGTCGGAAATGGTAATGGTCATCCAGACTTCCTATCTGAGCGAACACATCCAACGGCAGACATCAAGAACATGACAGCAATTACACTGAAGCTTAGACAGAAACAAACAGATGGCTAACTATCTCTCTGGGCAGCTGTTATCTAAATGGCTTTTATACTGAGAACCAACCCTGATTCTAGAAAGCTTTCTACATTCAGAACACATTTGGATCATCTGTAGCATATGATGTCACTTAATAAATATGCATGTTCTCTCTTGACTTTGCACCAAAAATGTGAGCAGGATTCTGAGCACATGTGCACCGCTGGCTCACTGCAGTCATATTCTTCAGACTCAAACAAGTCTTTGGCTGCCAGGATGTAAAAAAGCCCTCTGGATGGTATTTATCCTTTTAACTTACGTTAATTAACAAAGGCTTCTGGGTTCTAGGGGCGGATCTAAAGAAATATTCATGGGGTGTCCAGAAGATGGCATGGAGACTTTAAGGCGTGGCAGAAATACATGCAGATTTAATCACTAACAATCACATATTTCAATATTTGCTTGGAAAAACCTACAAATGAAGATATATGAACTCAAAAACATTCTTGTGGCACATAGAGATATCTAAAGGTGGCATTAGATATCAATACATTGTTTTAAATCTTCAGAGATTTTTCCAAACACCAATTTCCATTTTGTAGCACGTTATTTGTAAAATTAATCTATATTAATGTGTTAAATTTGACACCAAACTGGGGTGGCTAGGCATTTATTATGGGTGGCAGCGGTCACCCCCATTGCAACCCCTCTAGACCTGCCCCTGCTAGGTTTGACACTTTCTAATGAGCACCTGAGTCTAGAGATATAATTGTTAATTAATGGATTTTGTTTCAGATAATTTTGCAGATTTTTTCCAGAGGGTCCTTGGTCCCATTACAATGTATTGCCTTATAAACTGAAATCCAGTGTCCCACTGGAGCAAGAACACCAGCAAGAGGGTTTTTCTCAAACTGGCAACCATCCATCCAACCAAGCCATTAGTTATACAAGCTTTATACAGGCTCGACATTAGAAAATGTTTTTAACCTCTTTTTCAAATGTAGTTAGGTCATATTTGGTAATAGCTTTTAAAATGAGGTTCACATTACTTCATGCTAAAAAGTCAAAGTAAGACAGTCATACAGAACAGCACCAAATCAACAGAAATGATACCTGTCCCAAGTTCATGTATCCATATTTTGCTGCGATTTTATCAGCCTGTTCCTGACCACCTGTAATCCGCACTGCCCAGTGGTTTGTGTACACGTCCCGGTGTCCTGAGACCACTGAACGGCTGCTTTCAACGCTTATTAAAATAAAAAGCCAGAATAAAGTCATCCTGACGACAAAGTTGGACAGTCTAAGTCGAAATCAATTTTTTGGTTGAGTAGAAGCGCAGCGTTGGTTGGGTAAAGTGTATTAGAAGTCCATCATGTTGCGGTCACGTACCGGCGAGATCCACTGCCTCGTTGAGACGTAGCCCCCATGCTGCGGAGGGGCTGTGCCGTGTGAGCTCACAGAGAGGCTGGGGTCCGCACAGGATCAGACCACAGCCCGCCGGGGGCTCTGAAAACACTTTACAATATAGGACACAACATTTTGAATAGTTACCAAGGAACAAATGAGGAACGAACTGCTAGTGAACAGTTAATAAGTAACTCTATGCATAGAGTAGTTAATGATTAATTAACAATTAATTACTTTATTGGCCACTAACAGTAGCTAATTCTTAAGTAATTAGTAATGAATGAGTCATTACTAGTTTGTGCCATTCACCGGCTGGTTCAGGTGAAGAAAGTGGTCAGAATGATCGTTTCACAGATATTCATAAACTAATCATTACTAATCATTCATAAATATGCGATCTCCCAGTCTGTTCTATAGTAATTCATCATTATTTACTATATAGTCCAACATTAGGAATTATTAGGAAACTACTTATTAATGATTAATTAAGTTGTTTCTTAATTAATTAATCATTTAAGCTGCAGTAGGTATTTTCTATAAAAGTAACTTTTTGTCATATTTGTAATACATGAGACAGATAATCTGTGAAAACACTCAGGTTCCTCTGGCTCCTCCTAGTACTCCTAAGGGTATTTGCAATAGTCCATCAGGCCTAAACAACAACAACCAATCAGAGCAGAGAATGATAGTTGATTGAGTCTTATTCTCAGGGTGTGAAATACAGATGACTTGGGACTCTAGGAATGAGACTCAATAATCAGCCATCTTTAAACCAGGACCCAAAGTGTTTTTCTATCTTTCTTGGCTCTGATTGGTTGTTTTCATTTAGGCCCGGTGGATTATTGCAACTGCCACTGAAACAAAGGACACAAAACTTTAAGAGGCAGAAACCTCGGACAGACCCAGGATCTAGGTGGGTGGCATCACCGGGATTCAATTTGCATTCAACAGTACGATGAAAGATGGATTGATTGAGGCAGGCTACATAAAGGTCACTGACGACCTCATTCCTGGAGCACATGAAGATTTTATAAGCATTTGGGTCTTTCAAGGGTCCACAGACTGCAATACTCCCATAGTGGACCTGGATATCACTTCTGAAGATTCCAGAGAAGCCCAGAAGTTTGAACTTGGCTGGAAGAGACTGGCTTTTAAAAACATTAAACAAGTGTTATTAAGGGAGAATTCAATTCAATTCAATGTTATT